GCCAGAAACACCGGGGCGAACCCCTTCTCTTAGCGACAAGTGTTACTGGGTTCTTTAACGTGCATTACACACCACACGGGACCTACGGCTTTGCATCCCATCCGAAGGACGAAGCAATAGTGGTAAAGTGCCTTGCTCAAGAGCACAAGCACCATGTTCCCACGGTCAGGATTCGAACCCGTGTACCACAGCACACGAGTCGAACACCGTAACCATTGGACCACAGCACCCCACTTGCTTCATGTAGCATGTTTTATATTCTGAGAGAAACATTGACTAATGTTTAGCTGGATCTTTAAAGTTATGGAGCCAAATAGCAGGCGAAGCCATAGCAGGCGAAGCCAAAATGGAGACAACGCCATTTTTTGTCACCTTCGTCAGATTTCAGACATGACATGACGCAGCAAAGCTCGTCCCTCGTATCATCTGAGTTCATACTAACGCACAAAGTCGTCATTGAATTTCAAATTTTGTAAACGCAAATAATGAATATTACGTAGGTAAATGAAGCTATGTTATACCCGTAAATACCCGGGCGCTAAAGATACTTTTTGTTGATCATTTGGTTACCACAGGGTGTTTCAATAAAAAGGAAACCCAACTTTGAAGAACCAGTATGGACAGACTAAATGTTTACTGGCAATAATAAAACTGGTATCATCTGAAAGCGTCATCTCTAATGCTTGTCAATGATACCTTGTTTACATTTCCAGGGTCATGCATTACTGAGCCCCACTGTCATGCGTAAATGTTTACTGGCTATAAAACTGGTATCATCTGAAAGCGTTATCTCTATGCTTTTCAATGATACCTTGTTTACATTTCCAGGGTCATGCATCACTGAGCCCCACTGTCATTCGATTTTGATGCAAAATTGCAGTGGGTTCACTTTCATGTCAAACACAATAGGCATGGCGCGCATGAGAATAAGTATTCAAGAAGAAGACACGCGTGCATAAAAAGAAGAAAACAAAAACCAGGTCGGATTGGTTTCAAAACTGGATTTTATTGTTCGTCAATAATTTCTCGTTTTGACCAAGCCACGTTAAAAAAATTTAACCCGAGGATTAACATTCAAGCCATTTCAGAGACATTTCCGTAATAATAGGCACACGGTGCTTAGGCCAAAAATAAAAGTCTCCGGTTTCTGGTATGGAGCTTGCCTAAAAAGTGGTGCGGTGACGCGGCTTTTTTTTTTTTTTTACCTGATTTTTTTGCTTCAAATGTCGGCTGATGACTGCAAATGGTGCCCGACTAAACTTAGTGCAAATGTATGGGAGTCCAGAGAGGCCACATAAAGCTTATTCTCGACCATAACCCAATCTAAAAACACGTTAAAATTGCTCAGCAGCAGAATTCCAATCAAACCAGTGAGTTTGGCGGTTTTGAGACATCATCTTTCATTGAAAGAAAACTTTTTCATTTTGCCGACGCGCATGGCTACGGCGACGCGCGCGCATACCAGAAACCGGAGACTTTTTTTTTTGGCCTTAGTGGTGTTTTTTTTTTTAAGAAAGTGAACCAACTGCATTTTTGCATCCAGTTTTCAAGACAATGATGATCACTGACTATTACATTTTAAGTTTTTGTACAGCCTAAAGTGTGAAGGTTTATGAAATAAAGCAATAGTCGTATTTTGTTGGATATGGCACTCCATACACATACACGAGAGTCTGGGTTATTGTCGAAATAACTAAAATGTGCATTTCATTTTTACTAGAATAAGGTTATACTCGACATGGAATAAACTTCAGATATCAAGTTCCAATTTCAACTTTTTCTAAGTGTTGGCCAGTAGTCACACAGTCTTGCTTGTCATGAGCAATTATTTTTGTTTTACATAATATATTACAAATCTCATTTTTGTTTTAAATATAACAATGCTGGATGTTCATTTGTGTTTTAATCGAAGCTACATGTTACTTAAACATTATTTTTTTACCGTCAGATTTTGTATTTTGAATATGGGGAACAATTCAACTCTTTTTCCCTAGAAATATTGGTGATTTTTTTGTATTTTCCTTTTCAATTTTCCCTTTATTCGTGGAGGCGGGAAAACGTTGTTTTTTAATTACATTTATTAATGGATATTCATCAATTCGTAGACCGTTAAATTGGTATTAGTGGTGGACAGCTGAATTTTGTGATCTCTTTATTAAAATAGACACGACTTGGGAGTATGAAAATTACCTGAAATGTTCACAGTTACTACTCAATAACATGTTCTTTATCCAAATTATATTTTTTTACAAAATGGAGCGTGCCATTTTTTTTATCATACGCTCACTTTCTTTTTGACTCGCCATGTATTCATCCTTTCATCTGTGATCAACACACATTAAGCTACTGCCATGGTCACACAAAAAATAGAGTCTAATTGCCTGCCTCGTCTCCTTCCTAAATGTCAATTGCATTTGCATGAGTCGAGAAGAATTGTGTTCCATTAATCGCTATATGCTGTTTACGGCTATCACAATAAAAGATTAATATATTGGCAATATGTCGTACTTGTTAATCACTAAAATATTCAAGTAAATCGCCCAGCAAAGTAGCCGAAGCTGGCGATACGATGGCACGGTACAAAACACGGAGAAGCATGGGCACTGAGCCATGAATCCTAAAAGTGCATCTCACCCACCACATTCAGTTTGTGACAGCGCCCTTCTATTGTGTCGGCCATATTCTCAAATAGGCTAAGGATGATGATGACGGCGGGCAGATTAACAGAAGATAGATCAGGCAAATATGGTTCATCAATCTTCTATAGTTATGTAACGTTATTGACATTAAACAAAAATAAAGTGGCATAACATTTCAGCCTCAGCCAGGCCTTCTTCAGAGGTAAATGACAGAGGAACAAGAAACAAACATGTAGGGGACATACAAACATGTAGGGTTGGAAGGAGAATCACAAAGAGGGATGGGGGGGGGCAGACCAATCCATATATGGCTACCATCTCTCAATTTTTTGGTCTACATGTACAAATCTATATTCCATGACTGAAATTTTAAAAAATAAATCAATATTTTCTTGCTCCAAATTTTTTTCGAATCAGGTTTACAAGGAGGTGCAATGTAAAATTAAAGTTGCATTTAAATATCCGTTAGTGGTCATTGCTGAAACCAAGGGGTGGCTGTGGAGTTTAGGGTCCGAGTTCCTATAACAGATGAAACATCCACCTTTAACTTGTTACTTTTGTCAAGTCTCAACATGTTCAAGTTTTGCAAAAACTATTACAAATTGTCGTACTCCTCAGTTAGAGTTTCTTCATCAGATTTACACTTTATCGTAGATAAACAATATAAAAAAAAATATTTTTAAAAAGTGGCAAAAATATAAGGAGTTCATTAAATAAGGGGGTTTTCCCCTTCTTTAAATTAGGTTGTTTCCAATGTTTTAATTAATCGTGACAATAACACATTCTGTTGCCATGTTGTAATTTAACCCTAAAGGGGCCGGGGGCGGAATCCGCCCCCCCCCCCTTTTTTTTTCGCGACCCGAGCTGTTATGACTTTTTAGCCTCGAGCTTTGCGCATCTTTTGATACCAAAAACATAAAAATCGGACCACGGGTTGGCACGTAGCGAAAAATTTTCCAGGGCGCTACGCGCCGTGAAAACTGAATTTTCGCATATACGTTGTGTACACCGAGCAGAATTGCCATACATATATATGAATAATTAATTAGCCATAATTCCCAAACCCTTTGACCTATAGTCATGAAATTTCTTGGGCATGTTTAGGAAGAGTTGCTCTATGCATGTGCTGAGTTTCAAAATTTTTCGTCACTCGATGGCCGAGATCTTAGGGGGGGGCGGAATCCGCCCCCCCCCCCCCCGGCTGAGAGATGGTCAAATAACCCGGCCCTTTTAGGGTTAAGGCATGAAGCAAACACGAAGAGCACTCGCATGACACAATTAAGCAGGTACAAGAGATTCCTAACTTTCAATCACTTCCTTCACATCCCCATGAACATCAACATTTCAAGGACAGACTGTTCAGCTGTAATTAGTGTCTTGTTGTTTATTTAGATTATTGTTATTTATTATCAGCGGTCTCGGTCTCGGTCTCGGACCATTTTGGTCTCGGTCCGCCTTGAAGAGGCTGGTCTCGGTCTCGGTCTCGCAACTTCAGGTCTCGGTCTCGGTCTCGGACTATCCGGTCTCGACTACAACACTGGAATGTACACGGCTTTTACAACATATGACACAGGAGATGGATATTATGTTCATACATTTCAGTGGTATGGGAATTTTCTGTCAATGATGAAATGGCCATGTTCATATTTTGTTTTGGCTCTGAGCAATTTTTGTAATCTATGGTCCATCCACGGCGGAGTTTCCAGTATTTGGATTGCGACTGGGCAAATCTTGATCAAATACTTCTCGGAAAAAAAATCATCCTCAGGTTTTTCGCTGGAACAAAAAAAATTACAGTTTTGAAGGCTTGGCGTGTACGAATGTGTAAATGGTGCATTTCAATTGATACAATGCTTAATTGCATACACCACTAAAACTTATTATACACTGCAGTTATTCCTCGTGGGTTTCTTACCAGGGATAATGAGAACTAACTCGATGTATGTAAACAGTATGTAAACAAAAGAAAAAGCCACAAGTGTTTTAATAAATTGAAATGTCAATTTGATTATTTGTTCTAAGCTGACTGCACTTATCACTCAAAACTCGACGGATTCCGTAATTTTTTATTTTCCAATGGAAAAAAAAAAGAATGAAAATCGGGCACGTTGGGCATCGCTAAGTAAGTACAAGGGCCCAACGCAGTGGCCCAATGTCATGTATCTGCTTACCGTCAGCAAAAATGCTGCCAACTGTAGCGGAAAATTCCTGCTTACGGTTAGCGTATTTCACGGGCTTAGAGATTCTGCGCATGCGTTGCACCAAAAATTATGACTGCTAAACCAATTTAATAAACTACAACGCGTGACCTTGGCGGCGTATGACGCAAACAATACCGCTGTATTTCATAGACTAGTTTCAGTGGGCATGCGAGCTGTCTGATGAAACATGCATGCAGAAGACAACACAGTCGTGTTCAGGCATTGCAAAGGACGGGATTTCAGAAAAGTGTTCCTAAAATCGCTCACTTATTTATCCTTGCCGGAGTTATGATTGATACCGGTCTTCATTATGGGTAAGTACTTTGTTTTGTTCACAATACCATGGCATGTTTATGGAGACATCAGCGTCGCTTTACCACTTAGAATGAGGGTTTGTGCGACAAAAAATACCCACAAACCATCCGTGCTTTAAGTTAGACAGAATCCCCCCCCCCCCCCGCCTGGTCCCCGGCCTCTGTAATCGGCTGGGGGTCAGGAACTGTTTCCCCAAAATCTGCATGGGCACCTTTACAATGGTCCTCCTCCATCCAATCACAAAAGTGTTATGAAGTATTTCGATATTTTTGGACATTACCTCCAACTTAACCCTGATTGAAATCGGTGCGCGACTCATCAGACAACATGGGCTGATGTGGCATCGGTTATGTCACTTCAGCTCGACAAAGGTAGGCCCCAACCTCCGTCTTCGTTTTTGTTCTTCTGTTTTGATCATGTATTTATTTGACTTGGCGTTCCCGTAAAATATGAGTTTTGTTCAGTTTCCGAATTACATTGGTGTTAGTATTTTTGGAAACGAACGAATTGCATGAATAGCAAATGATCCTGTATCCCTTTGAAAGGAAAACGTTCTGGAAGCTAGTGAAATGTTTACAGAAAAATATTATTTCGTTAAGCTGGTTGATTTAGTTTGTTCATGTTCTTGCAGGGCGGAAACTGTTGACCCTTCTGCTGTTGTTTTCCTCGGCTTCCAATGGTATGTCTATTCTCTCGTTTTGTTGTTATTCCAGTGTTATTCTATGGCAAAAGGGTGCATCTGCAAAAATCGATTTTGAAGAAAATCTGAATTAAAAGTTCAAGGTTTTATTTTTACCATGTCCATTGTCTGAGCGCGTTATATCACTGGCAGCTGACAGAGCTATTGATCGAAACAATCACCCCATACAGCACAACTGACTGCATTCAGAACTGTGGGCGCATTGGCGATCGATGGAATATTCCAGGTCAAAATCACGTTCCGGATCTGCAAACAGAAATACATGTATGGTACCTTGCCAAGTTTGTGGAATATGATAAGGACCGGCTTGGAATTACATTGCACATGCTTTCAGCAGCCTTGAAGTGAATAACTACATTAGAATCTGAACGTGTAGCTGTGCAAGGAGCAAGTATCAATGCAGGTCCTTGAAAAAGAGGTCAAACAGGCAAACTTAATCAGCTAAATTGCATAGAGCGCCCTCATTGATTTTTCAAAATGAAAATTGCCCTTGACAAGGCCAAAGGCCACTGGAGGAGTGGGCTTCAGAAAAAAAAAGTGTGGAAGAACCAGCCCCTCACACTGAAACAAGATAATCTCATCTCAAGATAATCTCATCTCTTCAGAGTATGATTATGGTTGAGATGGGTGACTGGTCCGCTGCACGGCATTAATAATGCCTCTACCCTGGATACCTATGTAATCCAGGGCCCCCAGGGAGATCAGTTCAAGGACAATTGATGAGGCTACCCTAGTCAAATAACAAGAAATAAATAAATAAACAAGTAAATAAACCTATATTATGCGTAAAAGTGTCAAAGCCCAGGCTGGGCTCGAACCAACAAGCTGCAGAATTACCCGCAGACCACGAATTCAATGCCCCAGTGCAGACCACTTGGCCATGGCACTCGATGGCACTGATATTATTTTTAAATTGTGGGACACTGGGGGTTCAAAATGCCTTCTTTTGTGTATCACCAGGCAAAAGAGACGCGTTGACAGTGAGGGCGCTCTTTGCAAGCGGTACTCGCTCCTAAGTGAAGCATATGACATGCCTATTCCTTGGGGATATGCATATTTGATATCCCATTTTAATTATTTTGTTGTTGTTGGAAAATAGCACATCTCAAGTCTGACAACTGAGATCGTGCTGTGATTTCATTTTAGGAACCCACTCTTCAGTTAAGGTGTTTTCTGTTCAAATAGTGAACCCCAAAAATTGCTCATTCAAACCATTTTGAGAAATGTTTGCTGATTATTATTATTATAATTATGTATTCGACCATCACAAAAACAAAACAAAACAAAATTGAGTAAAACGAGCATAAAACAACGAACAACAAGTACAGTAAGGCGGTAGCGGGGACTTATATGCCCTGTGTTGATGCAACAACGAGTCACTAAAACAGGAAATGTACGACAACCCAATTACCAGAAATTCCAGCAATTTCTGATGCTGAATTAGCTGTTTCATTAGGTTTCTGCCACACACCTTTGCTCATGAATATTTAAGTAAGCATTAGCATAATATCAACGAGGCAACAATAAATACCCTTGAAAATGGCAAACATGAAAATAAAGTTAAATGGGACACAAAGGTGTATCTTCAAGGATTGCATTAAACAAATTATAATTATGTGATGGTCCCTTTATAATTTTTGTTCACCATTTGAATCATCAGCTATTGCTCTCAAGTGCCATGTCTGCCAAGCAAATGGCGTCTGTGATGGCGACGAGATTGGCGATCTTCAGGTCTGCCCGAGTATCACTGGCTACGTGGCCGATCAGTGCGTCAAATTCGACGGGGGGATTTCTGGATCCATTGCAGGTATCTGATCTATTGACTTGTCTCCCTTCGTAATAAGAAACATTAAGGGGCCATAATTTGTAAAACAAAAAAAAAAACAAAAAAAGGAAACGTTGAAATTGGGCACGTATGGGAATATCTTTGCTTCACGCCTGTTTTTACACGTCTTAACCCTAAAGGGGCCGGGTTATTTTGACCATCTCTCAGCCGGGGGGGGGGGCGGATTCCGCCCCCCCCCTAAGATCTCGGCCATCGAGTGACGAAATTTTTTGAAACTCACTACATGCATAGAGCAACTCTTCCTCAACATGCCCAAGAAATTTCATGACTATAGGTCAAAGGGTTTTTGAATTATGGCTAATTAATTATTCATATGTATGAATGCCAATTCTGCTCACTGTACACGACGTATATGGGAAAATTCAGTTTTCACGGCGCGTAGCGCCGGAAAATTTTTCGCTACGTGCAAACCCGTGGTCCGATTTTTATGTTTTTGGTATCAAAAGATGCGCAAAGCTCGAGGCTAAAAAGTCAAAATAGCTCGGGTCGCGAAAAAAATTTTTTTAGAAGCTATCGCGGAAAATGTTGAGGGGGGGGGGGCGGATTCCGCCCCCCCGGCCCTTTTAGGGTTAAGGAAAATGTCCTTTACTACCCAATTCAAAATCTCTGTCAAAAGTCTTTGCAACTCGATATGTTATAGGTTACTGTGTTGTCATGTTGGTATTTCTGACTGAGATATGGAAGACACAGAAGGAGGGCGCTATACTTCGTTGGTAGATTTTGGCAAATACAAGATGGTTGACCGAGTCCGTACACTATAAAAGTTTATTCTCAATGATATCGAATTTTTCATGTTCCCAATAGAACACCATCGCGAAAAAAAAGTGATTTTGAAGAGTTTATTACCAAAACGCGACGAAAGCCATTTTTACCTCTTAAAATTTCATCCTTTACCACTCCAGTAGGTCAGTTTCGACGGTTGTGAACCAGTGAATCACAATGTAGGCCTATTTATTCGATGAGGCACAACAATGAAGTTAAAACAGCTTTTACAATTGTACACTTTAAGGTTTGAAAAACCGTGCAGATGTTTTTACTTTTTTTCAAATAAATATATAGCGTAATTTGTAACTTTTCTCTGATTTTCACCTCTATTATTATTGATTTCAGGAACCGAGATCACTTTTAATGGAGTCATTCGCAGTTGCAACCTCATCCCACAAAACCTTGACGCCCCGCCCCTCAAGTGTGTCTCCGGCTCCAACGCTACTACATATTTCCGCAATGTAGTCGGCGATCTGGTGCCTGATGCGACCTCTATCGGTGATGTCCTAGATATCACGATCACGGGCGACCTCTGCTACTGCGCAGACGACGGCTGCAACGGCGCAAACTCCCTCAAGCCGTTCCTCTGGCTGATCATCACCGTTGGCTTGATGTACTTGCTGCTGATGTAATTTAGTGCCAAAATTCAGAGGTGCCCAGCTACCAGCGAAACCTTGAACGCTGATACTGGCTCTTTTCATAGCCCCCTCTTGAGACAATTTTAAGAGTTATACTGCGTCTTGATGAATATCAACTTTGGACGAGCATGAAGCGGCCACCAATCGGCTTGTGTTCATTGGTGCTGCGCGTCAGTTCAGGTTTTGGTCATTAAAATCGGATTTCCTCCCCGTGGAATATTCAGACGCTTAGCATTAGGAGACTTCTGAGAAGCTTGGTGGAGGCAAGCACACTGGTCCTTCGATTGCTTACGTCTGTTTAATGTAATGTGCGCATGTTCAAAACGTGCGCATGACTTTTCAGGACTCACATACTGCCTTTTTACTCAGACCAAGAATCAATATTTTCTGTTGAGACATACCCTCACATGGATAAGTGAAGATAAAGAATTTGAAATAATATGTTGGATGAATGTACTCTCGACATTGTATTCTACCGGAAGCAAGAAGATATAGGGTTGACACAGTGACAAATGATACATCGCGTAGTTGACTGTTTTAATAAGAACATTCTAGTTGGATTCTCTAAAAGGGAATCATGCATTAATCATTAACAGCTGTGGTGATTGAGTGTTGTTATACATTGAAATTGATAACTTTGTTTTGTCGATTGAGGACGCTATTCAGGAACTCCGCAAATGACCCATTTGAATGCCCAGTAATTTCAAAGCTGGGTTGTGATAAGAGATTCCTTAATAATCCAGAATTAGTAAATTTCGAATTAATGAGAAACGTTTGTATTTCTAAATTTACGGGTTACTATTTACTTTCTTCGATCAGATATTCATATTCCGACAACCCCTGGTTTAAAACCCACAACAAAGTTTATAATTAGTTTTATTTTGTGCATTGATGCATTAAGGTTACGTTCCCTGAGCAATTCAATTGTTTTACAATAATATATTGTTTTACTTGTATTTTGCATCTATCTAAAAACCTCTGAAAAAAAATAGGTTTATTTTTTTTTTCGGCATGAACAGGAAAGGCTTTCCGAGCAGACTGGCTCACGGTCCGTACATTACCGAAAGTGAGTGTTGGGCGGGAACCAGCATACGCCGCCAGAATGGAATTATTCTCTGGCAGTCAATAATTAGAAATTGTAGAGTAATACATGTAATTTAATAACTAAACATTGGCCAATTGTTTTTAAGGTCGATGTTTAATTTAAAAGGAAATTACTTTTATTTAATTGCAATTACGAACAAGACTTGAAACGCAATAGCACGTGAAACGCAAATTTAAGCAAAGTACACCACATTACGCGCGCACATGACGCAGCAATTTACCCCAACCCTGACCCCATCCCAGCCAAACCTTCAAATTATGTTTAAAATCTCCTTATTTTCTGCAAAAAAAACTGAGTTATAGTTTTCGAGAATTATCATTTGAAAGTTTACCCCAATGCAATCTAAATACAGGAAACACCATCATCATATTACATGGGGTAAAATACCAATATCTCTTCAATATTTAAACAGAAAGATATAATATGAGGGAGGTACACTAAAAATACTGTAAAATGAAAGTTTCTTCATGATTTTCAATGATGCATATTTTTATTTCGTAAGGACAGCACCGTGTCATGGTTTCTTTTCAGGAACTGACTCTACTATTTTGGGATGTTATACGACTCTCATCAATATTCCATTATTTATCAAAACATTTAAAATAATACTAGCTCCTTGATTCCTTGTTAGCTTACTTGCACTTCACGAAAGTTTCTTTCGCATCATTCCAAGAAGTTCACCAGTAAGGATTCTGACTGTATAATCCGTTTTTGTAGGTTTCACGATATCAAGGTCACCTTTTCATCAAGCATGCGAACATTATGCATGGGCTCAAAGAGAGAATCTTTGCAAATATTTCAAACCATGTTTTATTAGCAAGTAATAACAACTGTAAAATATAGAGGTACAGCAAAAAAAGTTATTATTAATGATGTTATTGCTAGGCGTGCGACACACATTTTTCAATGGGTTAGTTCTATGGGCTCCGTGCACATCTCATCTGCGTTTTACTGTCACAAGTGAAATGGCAATTAGCCGGCATGCACAAGTTGAGAAGTGCCGTTCACACACTGTCCTGGGAATGTTGTAAAGCGCCCTCTTTTGTTCACTCACGGGGGCCTGTTTTGTTATTTGCATTACCATTATCATGTGTCATGATTACCCTTGATCACGTGTCAATCGTTTGGGGTCGAGGATGAGCGTAAGATTCTTTTTTTGATTTGCAGCACAGAAAGTTGATGACTGTGGTGACTGTCACGTGTATGGTATCCGTTAGTTGCCACCTGAGCTTTTAACATTATAAACCTGATTAAGCCTTGGAAAATAACACCGGACATGTACTAATTATTAAACAAGATGTGCTTTTCGACAAGAACGAAATGACTTGAAAGTATTATGTCATGACAATAACTGTGCATAAGATAATGGTCTGTCTCAATGTGACAGATTGTGAATAATACATTCTCCAAATATTACAGCAGTAAATGATAATGCCAGTAGACGATGATGCGCTACCTTTCTCAGTAAGACATAATCATTAGTTTCCATCCACATTTATTACTCGATGCACTTGATAAGCCAATTCGAACTTGTAAAAGTAACATATGATATACAATCAACTTTATTCAGATTACATATGATCCATCTCCCTATTATAATATAGGTTGTCCCGGCCAATTTTCTAAAATGTTCATTCACTTCTGAAATCGGTCATTCATTTTCGTCTGAATTTGAAAATCGCTCTGAACACGCGTTTCATTTTCGCTACTAGAACATTCGATTCCATTTCAGTTTAATTACATGTATAAAGTGATTGAGCAGCACCTTTCGTTTATGTTCATTCAGGTTCATTTACGAGACTTCTTTCTGGCTTTTAGTTTAATGTTCCGTGATGTAATCTGCTATTTTCAATGATAAAAAAACGTACTTTTGATTGCACATTCACGAAATTGTATTCCAGAACTCTGCGCGAAAGGTTACACTTGCGTAAATGAACGCACGGGTAACGTAATTGGCCGTCTGTTTCTCAAAACCGAATGCATGGACAATGAAAACGATTGAAGTTTCGTTGAATTGATATGGGATTAAAGACGTGCATTCAAATTCAGACGAGAACGAATGACCGATTTTCAGAAGTGAATGAACATTTCAGGACTTTGGCCGGGAAAACCTATTCAAAAAGCAAAAAGATTATACTAATCTAACCTCAAAATCTTTTCGCATGGAAACTACGATTTTCGATTAGCTAAAAAGTATTTTATTTTTGTCTGCCCTTAATAATTGTCATACAAAAAAACCCAAAATATTGACTGGTTTTCCTAGTCATTGAAAATCGACTAGGACTTTAGTTAAACATGCAATGTTGTATTTGACTAAAAAAAAGTAGTTGGGTTCGACTTCAATTTCAGTTATTTGCACTTTTTTTTTGGCATAACTTTTTGTCTGCCCTTAATAATTGTCATACAAAAAAAATACCAAAATATTGACTGGTTTCCTAGTCATTGAAAATCGACTAGGGCTTTAGTTATACATGCAATGTTGTATATGACTAGAAAAGGTAGTTGGGTTCGACTCCAATTTCAGTTATTTGCATAACTTTTTTTCCAAAGTCAATAATACTGACTGGAGACAATTGCACCCAGCTGACCCTGAATGGCTAATCAAATTTAACCGAGTTTTAGTCAAATCCTTCTAAAACTTTTTTTAGAGTGAACGTATACGTCTAGCTATCTGTAACCGTTTATACTGACCCTGTATTCTGTTGGTTCGTAGTATGAACAAATGCGCATTCGCATACGCATTCAGTGAACGCAGTACTAAAGTTTGTGAGAGCCTTCCATGAAAGCCTTCCTGCAGCCAATCATGCTTTGAAACACATTCGCCCTTATTCAACCTAAGTTATATGAGCATACATATCCGCATAACAAACAGCGAGTTTCGTGCCACGTTACAAGACCACACGAACTGTTCGTATCCATGGGCGTCGCCAGGGGTGTTGGGCAAGGGGGGGGGGCGCTTGCCACCACCCCACCCCCCTCCCGGGACAAGCAAAAACAAAAAAGAGGGGAAAAAGGAAATCAAAAAGAAAAGAAATAGAGGCTCGAAATCATTACTGTTGTTAATTTTATGGGTTGGGGGATGTCCCTGCCCAACCTCGAAAAAAATATCTATCGGGAACTTGCTGGAAAATATAGGGATTGGGGGGGATGTGCTTACCCCATCTAGAACAAATCCTGGCGACGCCCATGATTGTACTTGTTTGCTTGCCTAACCTCTTTATAACCAACATTCCTTATTGTTGTCTTTGTTCAAGTTGGGCGCCCTTTCTTCATCGCCATGCCCAGACCCCCGTCATACATACACTACTGTATTGATCCTAATAATTATGAAAAACATGTAGACTAGGCCAAAAAAAGTCTCCGGTTTCTGGTATGGAGCTTGCCCAAAAAGTGGTGCGGCGACGCGGCTTTTTTTTTTTTTTTTTACCTGATTTCTTTGCTTCAAATGTCAGCTGATGACTGCAAATGGTGTCCGACTAAACTTAGTGCAAATATATGGGAGTGCATAGAGGCCTCATGAAGCTTATTCTCGATCATAACCCCATCTAAAAACTCTATAGACGATTATAATAGTTATAATGACAATTGTAATCAAGCGTCAACTTCAGCTTTACATAGTTCCCCTAGACCGAAGTAGGAAAATAAAACATGTAATCGCTGTGGCCTCGTTGGTACTATACTCGTCAGAGTCTACATCATGACACGTTTAGCTGCTACGGCAAGGGCGAGAATGGCCGATAGAGGGCGCAATGCACTGCCCCCGCCACCGTCATTATTACCCCCGTCGTTCCCATTATCGCCCCCGCCGTTGCCACTATCGCCCCCGCCGTTATCAATATCACCACCGTTGCAACTGTCGCCTCGGCAGGAACAGATCTTACCGTCAAAGACACTTGAATTTCCGAGTCTTAGTAGGAAGACGACATCAAAATTGGCTTCCAATCCGTATTTACAATCGACAATGCCCACGTTTGCGCAGGTCCTGAGCGTTGCATTGTTGACGTTCAGATCAGCCCCATCTGTAAATCACAATTTTGATTTGAGCCGATTGGTTTCACACACAATCATAAAAATGGACGGTGAAATTAAGGCAAAGTAAAAAAAAAAAATGTTTCTCGTCCCCGCCCGCTTCCTTTTTGGAGGCCGCCTGGATTTTTTATTATTTTTTATTTTTAAAAAATGCAGAAAAAAAATACCGAAAAAGTCCCAAAAATCATCGAAAAATAAATACCAATACCAATGGAACTCTAAATGACACTTAGAATATGTTCAGTTCTCTTGTCCAACTTGTCTTTCGTTTTAAAAGTGTCTTTGAACAGTGGAACACCAACGGTTGCAGGAAATTTTAAAATGGCGGCCATCCTGGAAAAACAAATTAAAATAGAAAATAAAAAGACCCGCTTCCTCCTTTTTTTCAAAAACCCCGGACGAGAAACATTGTTTTTATTCGGCCTAACGGAATATACAACAATCAGGTAATGAATGATGGAGGCCGGCAGAAGGCAGCAGGTTGTTGGCCAGGCTCACCGGTACGGTTTAAAATGATTTAATATACAAATAACTACATAAAACACTTCTGGACAATTCAGGTTTGTTTTCGAAAAAAACTCTTCTGAAAAAGTGCGAGAAATTGAAATTATCTGCAAAGGGCTAAGGGGTCTGCAACCGGTTGCAACCTCTTGTTTGCTGTGGGATTGAAACGCAAAGTGCTGTCCTTTTTTCAAATACATGACTCTTTTTGTCAATCTTGGTCTGTATTTCAGAAGTTCTTCATACTGCATGGAAGTGTCTTGAGTTGTCATCTTCCTTGGATGAGCAGTTCTCAACAAATCTGCACGTGCCCATTTAGCCGGGATTGAACTATTGACCTTGGATATCCTAGCCAAACATCAGTCCCTCAGACAAGAACCATGTGTTCGTGTTATAAAATCTCAGTGAGTCTATATAGTCGGCCTCGCCGCGCCGTGTGTGTGGAAGTTCGTTGTGGAGCGAAGGCCTAGGCTTAAATGGAAGATACAACATTTGCAAACATCCAAAAACTAAATGATCAAATTATCACAAAATACCTTACTGGATTGTTAGGGAATGACAGTCTAAAGCATCCTGTAAAATCGTGGCCGGTTTGTTGACATTTTCAAGAAAATTTGTATTTTGTCATAGCTGGTCGGCCGGCGACCATGCGTTGGAGAAAACTGGCTTTTTTTTACAAAACTGCTCCTAATTTTACAAGTTTTAGTTATTCCACTTTTTTGCAATTGATTCCACACCTGTGAAGGGGTAAAAGCCTGCTAGACTGATTCTCTGACCTTACAATTTTTCAAAAAAGCCTTTAAATTGCTCCGTTTCGTATTGCAGTCAGGGAACCAGACTACAAGAACATGGTTGTTTTTTACTCTTTTTTTTCCAGCATCTACAATACCAAAACGTGCAACAAGTCAATTTAATAATATTTGCTGCAACATACTTATCCTCCAAATCCAATTTTTCTGAATATCGCAAGTTTGCAACAAAAGCAAATGTTGTACATTCCTTTCAGTTAAGTTGCGAAAGTTTAAAACGGGATTGTTCTAAACTTTCAATTCGATGAATTTGTAATAATGAAATGCCATAGACTGACCTCGTGTTGCCTGGAATGCCCCTGCAATGGTTATACATCCGCTAGTTGCCCCGGTACAGTCAGCTGTGAGTCAATGGCAAGAACACGTTCGTACAGTTAAATTACTCAGTAGGGCTCATAGACCCCGTTCACGGGTACGCCCTCACCGAGGACAGCTAAGGGAATAAATGTGTGTTCGAGAGGTTTTATTCACTCTGTTTAAGACTGCTTAGAGTCTGGATGCTGATAATTACCAGAGCCGGAGGTAATCATCAGCACCCAGACTTTTTTGAACAAAACAAATGCCATTGTAGTCTATAGACCTTTATCATGCTGCCACCATTTCAGGCTTGTATCCAATCACAGTTCTGAATGAAATTGTTTTGTGCAAGAAGGAACCAGACTATCCAGCCTCGCTTTGGTTACGTTTATTTGAATGGGGAAAACATCAAGATGGCCGCGATAATGATAATGGTCGGACACTTCCTTTCCTTTTGTTTAAATCAAACTGGGACCGCACATTTTACAGGAATTCCTTTGCATTTGTGATAGCAGCCAGGAAAATGTTGCCGTCAATTTTAATGGATTTGGTTTTCTTCCACTGGTTATAATACCTTTGAACTCATCAGGAGGTGGATCATCCCCGCAGCGGGCTTCTCCCTGGTTAGACAAAGATGTCCCGGGGAGCATGAACGACGCACAACGGTAGCATTGTAACGCCCAAGCTGTTAAAAAAAGACACCATCAAGAACAACTAGACTATGAATCCAAATGTTTCAACGTATTTGTCGGTGTCGTTATGTGGTGTGTTGATACAACGGAAATTAACAACTGGTGACCAAATAAATATGTATTTAATGACCAATATCAAAGATGGCATTTGGGACCATTTACTTCACATGAATGCTGTTCGTTTTCCAATAATAATGCAAATCTAAATCCAAAGAACAATGTTCAATTCCTGACCTGTTGAAGTGTCAGCTCAGTGGATGTTAAGTTTTTTGAGAAAACAAATGCACAGCCAACCTTTTGAATACTAAACACAATTTCGTCAATAGCAGTGTAATTCCAAAAATCAGTCCAACTGACTGATCGATGGATCTCACCTACATTTATTGATTTCTTTTAAATGACAGCAAGCCAGACGATATCATTTCGTTTGGGTGTTTAGTGCCAGTACGATGTACGATCTTTCACCCAATTATAAGCTATTTGATAATAGTTCGGTACAGGTTACTTTTGGATACATGCAGCTGTTATTTTAGCTCCCTCTTTCGATGCTGTTCTGTTACATTAAAAACAAGGGGTAGATGTGACAATGCTTTTCGTAATCTCCATACTTTAAAATCACGAACAGGGTGACCGTCTTATAGCTGATTTCCGGCTAACGTTGACGGATTTTTAAAAAACGAGTTTGACAGAATAGATTTTTGGGCAGATTTCTGGCAGAATTCTTCTGTATTTCGAGCAATTCTGTGGAATTTAGCAGATTTTTGATCAATCGGACAGATTTTTGAAATGGATTTAGTAAAATTTGGTCATGACCTTACGGTCACCGTGATCACGATTGACTTACCGCAGTGACCCGAGAAAGCGACGACAATCAACAGCACAAGCTTTGCTCCTAAAACAAAAACGATTTTTCAAAAGAGCGTACGAATTATTATTCCACGCATATCCAATTGGGTTTTTTTTAATTATGGAAACTCCAAAGCGTTCTCTTTTTTGGAAAATAAACAAACATATAATTTGTCGCTCGGGAAACAAATAAACTATGATTAATTCTTAATAAGCTTGCGTTCAGAAGTGGAAGTATTGAGCTTTGCAATTCAAAACAAATTACATTTTATCCCCTGTAGGATGCATTGTCCGCATAGACTGTCGAGTTTCACCTCGGAAAATATATTTTCAATTTATTTTAATTACAATTTTCGGAGCAATAGAAACAGTTATTCACTTTTGAATGAGAGATTGAAAAATAAAATGCACCATCGTTTATTTATTAAAGAGTCTCTCGTCGAGAAGGCCATAGGCCTGTGCGCAAAAATAAAAAGGAAACAGTTTTGTTCAGAGGGTTTCAGACGCTCAAAATATATTGGGGGGAGTTAAAACAAAAAATAAAAATGAAAATTTGCAAGGACAAATGCAATAGTGCATAAGTCTTTAAGATAGACTCAAAATAAACTGGGCTCGATACGCACATGCAGTCTAGTCTGGGGACATATATGACCAGGAATCCAGACCGGATTTGACCTGCCACTTTGTGTCAAAATGACACTTCTCTGAGGAGCCTACCGAGCCATTTGAGACAGTCCGGTGTCATTTTTGAAATCAAATACTGTAAATTTAAAAACGGAAACTCGGAAAATGTAGAAACCCAGGAAAGTGTGAGGGAAACCGACCCGGATTCATGCTCGAACCTGACGCTAGTTACATCAGAGGCTGCGGCTACTCACCCATTGTTGCCAGTTGGGTGTCCTGTCAATTCCAAGAAAGTTGTTTTTTTAGCAAGAGCTTTGCAATTGCATAAGACGCACAAGGCAGACAGCATCAAACCTACATGAAGCGAAACAAGACAAAATGGAACTGTACTCTTAAAAAAAATTAATGGTACACACTTCGTCCGGAGATCGGAACATAACGCTTTTAATAATCTCCCATACATTTCACTTAAATGTTAAAGGAAACATGCAATATAATGTTAGGCCTTAAATATATTTAAAACACATTTTTTTTGCCATGTGACTATTACTTTCTACCTCCTTTGTAGCAGTTAAAGGAAAAACTCAACATTTTAGTTTTTATGCTAATACAAATTTCCACATTCATGAGCCAAAGCGTGATGTCATTTAAGGCAGAACAGTACTGTCTCCATAGTATCAACATTTTCTTCCTTTTTTTGAAAGTGTTCCCACTTTTTACTTAGTTATCATGTTAAAACCTTAGCGGGAGTCAGTGTGAACAAAATCGCTTCCACATTTCTTTGTTTTTTATTGTCCCAGCCACGTGGTAGCCATGCCCAGGTCATCTATCACTAGATCCTAGTATGGACCATGGTTCATCCACTAGAGGGGGTGTCAGTCTTGTGATCCTACTGGAGGGGCTGGAAATTGGCGGGAAAACCTAGTATGCTTGTGCGCATTTACATAGGTTTGTGTACAAATGCATTGTTCACGTAGGGATTCCCTCGATCACCCCTGTGACCAAAATGGAACTGTCAGATTGGCATTGAGGAGGTTAGTGTCTGGTTTTATTGACTGTTTAGGGACTGAGGCATACCAGGGGTTAATCTGGGGTGAATGGTGGACTTTGATGGTGTCATGGATTGATTCCCAGCAGGCGTCTGATATTATACTGCCAAAAATTGGCCCGCCTAGGGCTCGTTGGGACAATAGTAGAGGCCAATTTTTCTTCACAACTTTGTTGTGGGTAATTTTGAAGGACCAAATGTGTACTGTTCATGTGCATCTTTGACAAGGAGCTAGTACCTAAGATTGTGTGACAAATGCAAAATCAATCAATATTTAGTTGTTTGCCCTTCACGACATATAAACACTGACTACTCAATGTGTTACCTCCCGAGTGAAAGTTGGAAAAAAATCACTCGGGTGGGACTCGAACCAACACCTCCTGTTTTCAAGTGCAGATGTCTTACCACTCGACCGCCGATCGAGCTAACGGGATTGGTTGAGATTAAGCGGAGTAAGGGAAGTCCAACGGCGCACGCTTTAAATAAGGGCCGGGGAAAATTTTGATTTGTGCGGTCGGAATTTATCGTGTTTTTTGTTTCAAAACAAGCGCAAGACTCGAGGGTAAAAAGTGAAGTAAGCTCGGGTCGGGAATTTATTTTCCCAAGGGTATCATGCAAAAAACGGATACCGCCCAGCCCTTTGAAGTACAAGGACGAACGCGGTCGAGGTCGTGGAGTTTCCCCACGTGACTATTTTCCCACAGTGCCGGACAAAAAGGGAGTTGTTAGTCACAAACATATCCATCGAGTTGAAACTTCAACCTTTTTTTAATGCTAATTGCCTAGATTTTGAGTGATATTATTGTTGGAAACGAACAAAATGCATGGAAAGGAGATAATATCATACATGTTAATAAATTTAAATCAATATTTCTTGCTAAATCACGACTTAAAAAAAAAACCACTAAAATAATTATTTTGAAAAGAAGGTGATGCGCTCGTAGCAGAGTCGTGCATATAGATTATACAAAGGCAATAGTTCAACCGGGTTACAATGACGGTATACGTGCATGTAACTATCATCTGATCATAAAAAAAAACGCTTCCCATACTTTAGTGATTCGTACGCTAGCTCTTCCATGCGCTTGTTGCACATCTTATAATTGAATGTGTTTGCATTTATTGGCGATGAGAGCCAAGCAAATTGACGAGGTTGAGATATATATAGGAACACTTTTTTTGTCTGATATAATTAGGAATAACAAGACTTCATTTCTAAATTTCTTGGAATTCTAATCAAACGTTATTAGAACCGACGAGAAATGACCATATCAGGCTCTTCTTTTACTAAAATCACCTCTAAGAACTTTGGTGTTCCCTCCAAACTTCGATCGTTTCTCCAGAGTCCTTCTACAATACTACCCTTCTTCATTTAAAGGGCACTGCACCCCAATAAAAATCAGCTTCCGCCGCTCGAGATTTCCTGTGACTGTCCACACGGCGGTGATAGGTCATGGGGCATGTACACCTTTTATATTTCCCCTGATTGTTAAACCAGGCGACATCGTTATAGGGAATAGGTCTATCAAGTCAAAAGAAAACAGTCCTGATTTCGATTTCCTCAAAACAACTTCCCTTACAGCTAGGTTGCTATATTGTCCTTGAATCTCTGTGTAAAAATAATTTGCTCTGTCAATAATGTAAGAATGCATGTAATAACACTGTAACACGTGCAGTAACTAGTAAACACAATTTTTAGTATTCAAACTTTGGATAAATGCCAATCAGACATGATTATATATATCGATGTCTGTGGTCTAAGTGCTAAGAAGGACAGTTTGCAAAAGATTGTTAACCATGGGTCCAAATTTACCGGACTGCCCAGAGAGACCTTAATCAGTTTTGCCAGTAACAAGTACTCAGAAAAGCCCAGTTGTTGGATTTAGAAAAATGCACAGTCAAATTCCCTTTTATCCCATTTAATTTCAAGATTCTTTTGATGGACAAAAAAAGTTCTCGTAGAATTCTCAAAGTGCTGGCCTCAACCAGGAAAGTGGTTCATAAATTCATTTCCAAATGGAACAATGGTTACAAACAGACTTTAGTTTTTCTAAATGGTCGTTGATTTTTTAATATTCCTTTCAATTGCACTGTAGATACTATGCTGAGAGGGTTCCAATACAGACTAATTCATAGAATTCTCGGTACGAAACACTTTCTGTTTAAAATCAATAAGTCCACGACGAACCAATGTACATTTTGTAAAAATGAAGATGAAACTCGTACCCATCTCTTTTGCTCATGTGTTTACACAGTCTCATTTTGGGGTTCAGTGGTTTTGTGGATCAAGGACAAAACCAAATATTTACCATTACCCTAAATAATGAAATGTGTTTGTTTGGCAAAGCTGACTTTCAGTTCAAAGCTATCAACTTAATTTTATTAATTTGCCGTTTCCATATTTATAAAATGAAAATGATTGAGAAAGTGCCCTCTTTCCTAGTTCTAAAAAAGGGTTTGAAAAACTACTACTCCGTGGAAAAATATATGTATATTTGTTATGATAATGTTGGAAAATCTTTCTGTAAATGGGATTCCTTTTCCGCACTTTTCCAAGAGTAATTGTTTGAATTGCCTTGTTTTGTGTTTGTATGAACTCCTATTTAAATGTGCTTATTTTTAAAAATGAGTTTTTATTGTTGAAAATAAAGAGTTATCCCCGGGATAAGGAAGAAAAGCCCAGTCGATCTTAGCCAGCATGGGCGTCGCGAGGGTGGGGGGGGGGGGGGCAAGGGGGGCGCTTGCCCCCCCCCCCCCCCGGAAAAGCAAAAAAATGGGAGGAAAAAAAAGAGGAAAAAAGAAAAGAAAAAGAGGCGCGAAGTCTTAGTGGTGTAAATTTAATGAGTTGGGGGGCAAAATGTGCCTGCCCCCATCTTAAACTGATAAATCGAGAATTTGTTGAGAAATACAAGATTTGTTGGGGGAAAATATGTTTTGCACCCCTATAGAAAAAAATCCTCGCGACGCCAGTGTTGTAGTCGAGTACTTTTTTCCGAGTACCGAGTCCTGCCGAGTACTTGGGTTGCCGAGTACGAGTACGAGTACGAGTATTTGTACCTTCGAGTACAAGAACGGATCTCCGAGTACGAGTACTTGTACGTACGAGTACGAGTACTTCCGAGTAGGAGTACGAGTACTTCCGAGTACGAGTACGAATACGAGTACTCACATTTCCGAATACGGCCATACGGCAAATGGTTCATTGTGCGTCAATGGCCCAGGCCCAGTCGACCGATATACGGACCCACTTACGGCTAGCTGTTAAATGTGTTTATCCGGACTTGCACAAAGGAAAATCAGGAAATCTAGATTTCTCAACAAGGCAATCAACAATTTCAAACTGAAAGAATCGATAAAATAAGGCCATGGTAAGTGAAGCTATAACATTTTTCACCTGAGTACTGCTATTCGAGAACGAGTACTTAAATGATCGAGTAAAATTTGACATGTTGAGTACGAGTACTTTGCTGCCCGAGTACGAGTACCGTCATTTCGAGTACAAGTACTTTGACATTCGAGTACGAGTACGAGTACGAGTACTCCAAAAAAGTACTTGAGTAGTACTCGAGTACGAGTACCGAGTACGAGTACTACAACACTGGGCGACGCCCATGTTAGCCAGTAAAAATCATGTGTAGTAAAAACCATGTTGAGTTTCTTCCATCGGGACGCCCACTAAAGATGCCTTCCATGAGAACCAACAGAAGAAAGTTCTCGTTTATCCAAGTAGCTTTAAGACATATAATTAACTAAAAATCATTTGTAATTTCTTATGTTCATCATTTTATTTGTCATTTTTATATGCAACCATTAATCAGGAGGGTCTCAGTATAATTATCATTTTTCGAGCTGTCATTACTCCAGTGGCCATTAGACCATGCATTTTATAGGTCCATCATCTTAAATTGAACATTTTTTTAATTTTTTTTTTATCGTGTTTACATTATCGTAAATATGGGGATATGTTTTTATAGGAATATGTTTTTATATAGGTTGAGTTTTTAAACCAAATTTAATTGAGATAAGGACATATTGTTTGTGATGTAAGTTTCATATATTTATATTTACTCGACTTGAAATTTACTAAGTGTTTTTAATGAGCTGTCCAACCGTATATGTAATTGCCTTTTTAAGGACAAATTAATATTTTGAATTGAATTGTATTGAAATGAATTGAATTGAATATGCTGTGAATAGTGCCAGATGGTGGCCTAAGTGTGTGCCAGGTTTGAAGTCGATCAGATGTGAAAAAAAGTCCCAAAGTCTGGTGCAGAACGAAACACGTGTTATCCTATGGGGAAAAAAGTGGAAGAAACAAAAATAAAGAGAGAGGAAAAACAACAAAATCAAGAGCTGTTTCGGTGTGCACGCCGAGTCAGCTTAGAAAAATGTTGCACAACAAAATTGTAGCTTACCTGTCAAAACACGCCACTGGTTCGAAGTGTGTTGGACAATCTCCAAGCTCCAATTTATAGATAGAAAGTATCGTCCCGATCTGTTTTCGTGAAGTATTTACGCCCGGAGTTAAGCCAATCACGTATCAACCCGAATGTAAAATTTGCATAAGGTCACGTGCATTTATTAGTTATTCAATTCATCGCTTTGTCCCTGTGCAAAAGTGCCAAGTGGAAGTAGTTCTGTATTCACTGTCAACTGCCACTTGATTTCGCTACAGTAGTTTGCCTCGCCATTGACCTTGGCCTAATAGTCAGGCAGCTTAGGCCAGCTTTTGGAAGGATGTGGACATTCCGGACAAAAGCGCCAAATTTTCCATACATGCTCCTTATTGCTTTAATTAGTTTCAATTTTTGATAGAATCCAACTTATCCAATCACGATATGGCGGCCATCTTGGTTTTTAAAGATGGCTGCCATTGAAAACCTATTTTTACCCATATCTCATCTTCTAAGCCACATGGGATTAAAGTTGTGTGTCTAAACATGCATTTTCAGGGTCAAGGAATGCAACTGTACCATTTTGGGATAGTGTCAAAGTGGTTCGTTTGTCCAGATACAGTATTGTTGCCATCTTATTTTTAAAAATGGCCGCCGGGATTGAAAACTACATGTATTGCATCTTTAAGCCATTTAACATTGAAATCTTAGTGTCTAAACATATATTTTCAGGGTCAAAGAACGCAACTGAATCATTTGGGTTAGTGCTAAGTGTAGTATTTAATGTTTGGAAAGAATTAGAGACACACACGCGGGTTCTCGGCTGACTGTTAGGTGTATTCAACAACTGAATGGAGGTCAATCCGTGACCTATGATGTTATCAAGTACATGTGTATGGAGTGCCTATGATACAATATTACAAACCTTTCCACCTTGCTTGCTAATAGTCCAAAAATGCAATTAAAGTTTTGTAATGGTGTATTGGGCCATATTTGGAAAGAAGGGACACACACACGCGGTTCTCGGCTGGCTGTTAGGTGTATTCAACAACTGAATGGAGGTCAATCCGTGACCTATGATGTCATCAAGTACATGTGTATGGAGCGCCTATGATACAATATTACACTAAATGGTTAATTTGTCCAGATACATTGCGGCAGCCATCATTGATTTTTAAGATGGCCGCCATTTTGAAAACCTACATCTTCCAATATCTGTTCTTCTAAGCCACTTGGGATTAAAATTTTGGCGTCCAAATATACATTTTCAGGGTCAAGGAATGCAACTGTTCCATTTATGACAGTGTAAAATGGTCAGTTTGTACACGATTGTGGCCATCTTCGATTTTAAAGATGGCCACCAGATAATGATTGCATTTACTAATATATCAGCGACTACCCCATATCAAATCACATAGGTGTCCAAACATACATTTTCAGGTCAGGAAATACAACTCTTTTATTCAGAAGAGACCACTGGTGATTTTAGTTATACACACAAAATAGTCAAATTGAAGATAAAATCTCTGAACAGAAAACATGTACCGTTGATATATACTGCAGTCACCGAAAATACTGTATGAAGTAAAACAACATTGTGTGAGAATCACACACGTTTTCAGTTGAAAAGTGCTCGCCCTAATTCTCACAGTTGCAACCACAGAGTTTATTGCACTTAACAAGGTGCTGCATGCACGTCTTGCACCGCATTACACTTTGATTCTTGAATCCACATTAACTAGTTCACTGCAGGCTTTGGAGGCCACAGGTATGGTCCAGACAGGAACCCATTAGTGTTTTTGCTCATGATACCAGTGAAGTAACATTTTTTTTAAAGCCTGTAATGTTTGATTCAATGAAAATGTGTGTTGCTGCAATATACATGTATTTAGATTATTGTAAGCCTTATAATATTGAAGTTACGTCACCGACAGCTTTTGCCATATCCTTGTGTGTCTTGACAAGTTTAAAAATCGGTAAATATGTGGTTTTTTTTGTGACTGGCAATTTACCGTCTTAACGACTTTCGACATTCGGAAGCCAGATTCAAGGTAGACGATTGTATGCAAAGGAGGTCGGATCTTGAGTGTCGAGTAGAACAACGAAGCACGCACCCCAATATGGCTGCAATGCAAAGAATCTATAGTCAGTGGTTTTCCTATAATAATTCAATGGCATGCCAGAGCGGCATAAAAAAGTGAGTTTTGATCCGAAAGGTATACCGGATGCGATTGTCTTTTCCGTACAGGCAAGTAAAGCAATTTTATGAGCAATCTATAGACTTTTCATAATGCAGTGCGCCACCACGAGTTTGCAACGGATTTTTTTTTTTTTTTAGTTTTTGGTCGACAAAACACGACCCAGTTGAACAACTATCAGTGAACAACTTGAGCTAATTTGTTCAGGTTGCAGAGCGTTCTGTCGCCTTCCCCCAAAAAACACCATAGTGATTAAAAGAAAAGAAAGTAAAGGACAAGCAGACGCTAAATATTAAGAAGCTTCTGACCGGACAAACTAATGTGAGGGGAGGCGACGCCCGGCGGCAGCGTCCCTGGGTTTGAAGAACTATGACGAT